CCTCTCCTCCGTTCGATCTCTTCATTTGGCTTCTCCCTCCCTTCTCTTCTCTGCTCCCGCCCTGCTCTCCTCTCTGCTCTCTGCTCGGTCTCTCTGCTCTCTCCTCGTCTCCTACCTTCTCTCTCTCTCTTTCTCTCTCTCTCTCTCTCTCTCTCTCTCTCTCTCTCTTACTCTCTCTCCTCTTTCCCTTCTCCCTCTTCCCGTCTCCCCTCTCTCTCTCCCTCTCGCTTCTCCCTCCTCTCTCTTCCCTCTTTCCTCTCTCCTCTCTCGTCCCTCTCCCTCCTCCCTCGCTCCCTCCCCTCCTCCCTCTCTCTCTCTTCTCTCTCTCTCTCTCTCTCTTCTCTCTCTCTCTCTCTCTCTCTCTCTCTCTCTCTCTCTCTCTCTCTCTCTCTCTGCTCTCTTCTCTGCTTCTCTTCTTCTATCTATCTATCTATCTATATCTCTATATATCCATCTGTCTTTTCTATCTATCTATCTATCCAATCTATCAAACTCATTCGCTTGTCCACTCTTTCTCTTGGTCTATCTCTCGGCTGTCCTTTATCTTACTCGTTTTCTCTTGCTCTTAAAAATATTGATTAGATCCACGCCTTTTGTTGATTCCGGCAAGTGTCCATCAAGAGCTCAAACGATATTTATAAAAGTCTCCCCTCTCTTTTTATTTTTCTTAAGACTATATTTTGAACTAAACTGGGAAAACAAGGAATTGCAAAAAAACTGAGAATATTATGAAAAGAAGATAAAAAATGGCAGACAAAAATTATAAATCAGATAATCATAGTGAAAAAGGGAGAGAGAAAACGAAAGAGAAAGGCAAAGAAACTGCTGCGTATAGAGTCCTTCAAGAAGATAAAAAATAGCAGACAAAAATAATAATCAGATAATCATAGTGAAAGAGGAAGAGAGAAAACGAAAGAGAAAAGCAAAGAAACTGTGCTGCGTATAGAGGCCATATTAAGTGCGCAGTGATTGTGAATATCCTTTGCTTTGTTGAGTTGTTTACGCTTGTCTACAATAGGAAGTCAACCGTGGGTCTTTAGCTTTGATGTCGGAGATGCTCAAGACACAAAAGATCTTCGTCTATTTTTCGAGCCTGTTTTTCCTCTTTCGATTTTCGCTTCTTGTGAAAATTGATTTCTTTGCCGTACTGTCTTAATAATAGAAGACGTCATTACCATTATTGCCATCGTCCTCAACATCATTATAATTATCATCACCACACTCATGATCATCATCTTCAGCGCCATGATTATCGTCATCATTATCATCATCCTCAACATCACCTTTATCATCACCATCATCTTCATTATCACCATCATCATTATCCTCACCATCATTATCATAATCAACATCACCAATATCATCATCACCCACACCATCAAAATCACCATCACCATCATCGTAATCAACATCATCACCATTATTATCATCCTCAACATCATCACCATCACCATCGCCCTCACCACCCCCACCCTCATCACCAATTATCATTATGCTTGCTAATATCATTACCCACCTATCATATCGGAAAGCGGATGTCACGAGGAGAAATTTATTACGCCGAGTTGCCAGCAGTCGCCATATGAGATGTCGTTGCTAATTAACAAGCCATGTTTAATTGAGCCGTCACTTCCTGCTCGGCCAATGTTGACATAATCAACAGAGTCCGAAACGAGCCATAGGGGCAGGCCGACCGGTAAGCATGATGTTGCAGCTGCAATGGAGGATATTTTGCATTAACTGATTAGGTCTGGCTTGTCCCCTCGCCTCCCCCCCCCCCCTCCTCTCTTTCTCTTCATCCTCCTCCTGCTGCTGTTGCTGCTGCTCTTCTTCCTCCTCCTCCTCTTCTTCCTCTTCTTCTTCTTCTTCTTCTTCCTCCTCTTCTTTTCGGGAACAAATTTTAATTAATGGATGTGGGTAATTTTTATTACGCTACAATTGTTCAATAAACATTGAATATTCAACTTAAATAGTTCTTTAAACTACAATATGAAATTATAAATTATCTAATTAACATGGGAAGGCCCGCACCGCCCCGCAGGCCAGGCCCCGGCCCTCGGGCCAAAGGGGGAAGCCCCCTCCAAAAGCAAAATGCAACCAAACAAGTCTCCCTTGACCTTACACCCCCCCCCCTCTGCCTAAATCAAAACCCAACCATGAACCGTTACTCACCTCCTCCCCCAACCCTTCTCAACCCCCTTCCCCCAACCCTTCCCAAACCCCCTCAGCTTCCCAAGTAACAACCATACTAATCCCGATCTCTTTCTTCCTTCAGGACAACCTTCTGCTGTACCACCACGCAAGGCTCATGGCGGAGAAGGGGCGGGGCTCCGAGAGAGAGTACCTGGTGGGCCTCATGTTCTCCAAGTTCGACACCAACAACAACGGCGCCCTCGACAGGGACGAACTCGTGCAGGTAAACAAGGACTGTAAACAAGTAAACAGGGACTAGAGTAGGAAAACAAAGGCTAGTGGAGGTAAACAAGTAAACAAGGACTAG